GCATCTTCCTGACTGCCTCTTCTGTTTTCATGTGCTTTTATTTTGTTTATTTTTATGTGGTACCCGCGATTGAACCCAGTGCCTCCTGCATACGAGGCAAGCACTCTACCACTGAGCCACAATTCCGGCCCTCATGTGCTTTTAAGGGCTCATGTGATCACACTGGGCACTCAGGATGAACTCCATATTTTAAGGCCAGTTGATTAGTAACCTTAATTCTATTTGCAGGGCAGCACCTGGATTAAATAATCAGCAGATAGGAATCTTCAGGACACAGTTCTAGAGTTCTGCCTCCACAGTTACTTCTATAACAAATCACTTCTACAATAAATCTCTTAATTTTTCAGCATTCTGACTCCAGTTTAATTGTTCATACTTTCAGCTATGCAAAGTAAAAATGATTACCAGAAAAAGTAACATAGTATAACTGACATTTTATGCTTTTTAAAGTTGATTCTGTGCTAATGTTGTCTTTTATACTAAAGACCTTTTTTAAAACATATTTGTATCTTTAATACAAAGTTAAAAAAGACATCCTTTTTATTTACTATTTATTTTTTTGAGTCAGGGTCTCACTGTTTCTCACTTCAGGCTAGACTTGAACTCCTAGGCTCAAGGGACCCTCCCACCTCAGCTTCCCAAGTAGCTGGTGTGCTTCACCATACCTGGTTCATTAATAATTTTTTAAACAAAAAAATTTTTTTTTTGTTCTGGAACATTTATCTTTGATATAAAAATCAGACCTTTGTTTTTTGTGGTCTTGATATTTTGGGTTAATGTTTACAACTCTGCTTTCTTTTGAAATGTAGCTTTTTCCCAGATTTGTTTTTATTATATTCTGGTTTGTAGAATATATTTCTTGTAAATATGTGGATATACATTGGTGAAAATTCCATCCAGATATTTTGGAAGAGAATTATTTTGGGTCTCTAAGCATTAAGAAACTTGGTATTATTATACGGAAGACAGATTTTTACTATAATTCTGGGGCCAAAAGGTGAAGTCCATGTATTTTTATTTTTAGATTATCATTATTGGAGTAACATCTTAACGCGTATATGATAAAATTATCAGTTTAATACAATTGATAACAGATATGCATTAGAGCACAGTGCTATAGCTAATATGTTGTTATTTATGTATCCCAGTTATATGTTACGTTCAAACAATATATTTGAGTTGGGATATAATTTGATTCCAGTGTTGTTCTATCAAAATTAATTGCTCAGATATTGTCTGTGTGACAAATCAATATCTTCTGCTATATATTATTTCTAATTAAAATTTTAAAAACTTTTAAATTTTGTCTAGTTTTTCTTGGTGCTTTATAATTATACTTACTAGTGGAATTCACTGTGACATATTCATACATGCACAACATAATTTGATCATTCTCATCTCCCAGTACTTCCCCTTTCCCTTTCCTTCCCCCTCCCTAATCCTCTTCCTCTATACTACTGGTCTCCCTTCTATTATTAGTACATTGTAATTGTGTATAAAAGTGGGATTCATTATGGTATATGAATATATATAATAGATGGACATAGCATAATTTGATCAATTTTGTTCCCTAGTAATTTCCTGTTCCTTTCTCTCCTCTGTCTTCTTAGTTCCCTTCCTCTACCCTATTGTTCTTTTTTCTTGAGATTGTTTTTTTCCTTTTCCTCCCTCCCCTCTGGCTTCCACATAGGAGAGAAAACACTCAACTCTTGACTTTCTTAATCTGGCTTCTTTCACTTAGCATGATGTTCTCCAATTCCATTTACCAGCAAATGATATAATTTTATTCTTTATGACTGAGTAAAAACTCCATTGTGTATGTATACCACATTTTCTTTATCCATTTGTCTAACAAGTACTTATGAATCCATAATTTGGCTATTTTATTATTTCTTTAAAGCATTCATTGAATAACATTTCTACACCTGCGTTCAGAGTCCCATCCTGATAATTGGCAACTTTTCTTCCTTCTTCTATGTTAAAGAATGGTACTGTTATTAAAGCGATGGAAGGTAACCATACCTCTGAGTTAGCCCTTTACCTTTGCAAAAACGTGCTAGTCATGGTTCTGTCAGGTAGGTAGGGTAAGAGTTGTCATGCCCATGGTTTGGTTTACTTATAGGCCAAGGTGTCCTGGTTCACAGCCATGCCAGGAGCTTTTACATGTTGTTTCATTTAATTTTTTTAATGCGTTGGTTACCTTCCATCCCCAACCTCCTTAATTTTCTTCACAGCATATATTACTGAAATCATTTAATTACTTTCTTGTATAATGATTATCTCTCCCATAGGCCCTAGATCCAGAGATTTTGTAGCACTGATGCCTAGAATAGTACTGGCATCAGGTATTCATATCTTAGCCAGTGTTACATAGGTAGTAATTAGCATGGTCAAGGTTAGAACTCCTTGGGCTGGGGTTATGGCTCAGCGGTAGAGCACTTGCCTAGCATGCGTGAGGCACTGAATTTGATCCTCAGCACCACATAAAAATAAATAAATAAAGGTATTGTGTCCAATTACAACTAAAAAACAATTTAAAAAAATTAGAGCTCCTATACTGTTTATTGCAAATCTGTAGGCCATTTCAGTATAATTAGTTCTCAGGCAGTGTTTTTATAATTTGTTGAAGAAGTGTTTTTATTAGGACTTATGCTCAGTTTTTTGAGGCCTACAAACTATGGATTGATTGATTGATTGTGGATGGTTGCTTTGGCCTCACTGGAACTGAGATAAATCTTTGTTGGTTTACTTAACGTGGATGCAACATTATGGGCTATTTCTTGACAATGATGTGATCACCTATTTTAAAGTCTGGTGAGGAGAAGCTCTTTGTTAATTCATATGATTTGTAAAGTTTCATAAGACACTTAGAATAAGATGTTCTGTGATAGCTCTGGCCATGGATGAAAGCATTTCACGTGGCCCTTTCAAGTCCTAGTCTGCTTAAGCTCCAGAGAATGCAGCGAGACATCTGCTGCACAGGCATTTGAGGGGTTGAGGAGTGTGGGGTGTAGATGGACTCCAGATAGAGGCTTATCAAAATGCCATCTGCATCTAGAGGCAGTACTTCTTTTCAAAAACATTTGTAAAGAAGTTTTGTTTTTCAGGTCTGCTTTTTATTTAAAAAAAATTGTGTACTATGTTTTATTCATCACCTATCTCCTAGTCTCCAGTGTTTGTGTAATGCTTAAGCACATGGTATCTTTTCAGTACATGTTAGAAGTGTTACACTTAGAGTATATTTAATGTTTGCATAAAGCATCTTCTACAGATGTGGACTGAATTTTTTTAAATGATTTAAGACTAAAGGTAATAAGAATAATAAAGAATAGCAGTCTGGAATTTTAAAAATATTTTGTTTCAGAACTTCTTCCCTTTTTTATAGCTTTATTAATGTTTCATATGTTTATTAATGTTTCATATAAGCTTTATATATTTAAAGTGTTGTACAGTTTAATGAATTTTGACACATTTTTACATCCTTGAAACTGTTGCCAGTGTTAAGTTAGAGAACCCCATGTCTTTCTCCCTTCCCATACAAGTTTAACATAAATGCACTGTATGGTTGGACCCAGCCATTTCTCTTCTGAGTGGTACCAGAGAGAGATGAATACATGTCAGCTTTAAGACTTACACAGGAATGTTTGTAAGACCTCTGTTCATAATAACCTCAAACCAGAAACAACCTAAATGTGCATCAGCAAGTGAATGAATAAACAAGTTGTGATATATCCATACAATGGAATATATTTAGTAATAAAAAGAAATGAACTATTAGATTGAAGACTGCCTTTTTTGTTGAACATGTTTTTTGCTTGACTTTCGTTTTTATTCTCTTAAGATGTTCCCTAAAATGAAGGAAACTAATCTAATATTAACTGATTTGTTACTGATGAGTCATAAATGGTTGTAAGTTATATTTGGGTAATCAAATATTCCTTAAAGAATTTATGATTCTTCATGGTGGGGTGAATCAGAATAGTGGGAGTAGAATGAAGAAGAAAGAAAAAGCCTTCAGATTTGCTGCTGCACAAGTAGGATTTTTTCAAGTCTGGTTTATGAACAATAAAAGTTAGTTTTTGGGGGACCTGCACACCTTCTGCAGCCTTGCTCAGCTCCTGGGGAGGCGCCTCCCCTGTGCCTTCAGGGACAGCAGCCTTGGCCGACAGACAGCAGCCTGTGCTTTACAGTTCTAAGTAGGTCCTTAATCATGTGTCCTTAACCACGCAGAGTTGTTTGCCTGAGCAAGTTATTCTTTAGGAACCAACTGTTAATTTTTGTTAGACTCTGGTTACAAAATCAAAAAACTTTTGAGTAATATGCCCCAACTTTATTTGATTGTATTCTTTTTTCTTTACAGAACAGTAAGTTTTGTTGTTGTTGTTGTTGTTTTAAGTTTTTGTTTGGAACACATAGCTTTCTAACAAAAAGAATCTGAATCTTAAACAATTTTTTAGAAATATTTTGTTAAAAATGTGTTCATTATTATTTTTAGCTAATACTAACCTCTTGCTTACTAAGTAGCAAATGTTGTTCCAAGTTCAAAGATTAGCACATTTAATCCACACAACAGTCCTGGTGGTGAGTCTGATATTATCCTTTTTTTTTAAGGGAATGGGGTGAACAGAGAGGATGAGTAACTTGCCTAAGGTCACACAACACAGATAGTCTGGTTCTAGATTGTATTGCTGTCTTCTGCATGGCGGTGAATACAGGTGATAAATTAGATTTGATAATGATTTTCTTGTGTAAGTCCAGGTGATTAATTTTATAGAAATTTTTGTATAATTTTATAGAAAATTAAAACTTCATCATTGTATAAAGTGTGAGTGAACAGGGTTGCAATAAACTTATGAGGACAGCAAACTTACCACTTCCTCTACTTAGAAGCTAGGAAAATGATGTCACATTAAAACCCTGCTGTAATTTTACAATAAAGAGGTTTTTTTTTTAAGTTTTCATTTTATTTGATTTATTTATGCCTTTCAATTTCTTCTTAGGCATATTACACCTGAAAAATTTTATGTGGAAGCTTGTGATGATGGAGCAGATGACGTACTTACCATTGACCGTGTGTCCACAGAGGTCACCCTTGCAGGTATTGTATAGCTTGAAGTGCCTGAGAAAGATTTTATACTAAATTACGGTCATTAAAATGTTACTCAGAGTTATTTCAGTGTGTGGATCCCTGTATATTTTGGTTTTGCTTCTCTGGATTGTAAAAAACAATTTTTTTTCAGTTTTGTGGGACACTGATTTATAAGTAGATTAATGCAAAATAATTTGGTGATAAATTAATGTATCATGTGGTTTTACAATTAGAATTTCATATTTCATTGGCTTAAAGATTTTAATTTACCTCCAGATAGATTCCATGTTCTTGTTAAAGTATAATATTTGAATAACCTTAGAGCAGGCATTCAGTTAATGTTCTTCGCATAAAGTGAAAAATATGAGAATGTTTTCAGTGAGTTAGTGAACTATAAGAAATGTGTGACTATAAAATTTCCATTTCTTTGGTTATTTGATTATTTTGGTAAGTACCATGCACAGTTTTCCTTTGATCAAATGGAATTAGAGTTCTTTGATAATTTGGCATTTTGTAGTTGTTGCTTGGTGACTGTTCTCAAGATAGCTGATTGGTTTTAGCCAATGTTTGTATACCTCTCCTAAAGTTCATTTACACTACTGCTCCTTTTTGCCATAGTGATATAAGCTCATGTTTTATAAGAGCTTTCAAATGGGTGTGTTTTCAGTTTTTTTTTTTTGTGTGTGTGTGTGTGTGTGTGATACTGGTGATAGAATTCAGGGGCACTCAACCACTGAGCCACATCCCCATCCCAATTTTGTATTTTTATTCAGTGACAGGGTCTCAGTCAGTTGCTTAGCATCTTACTTTTGCTGAGGCTGGCCTTGAACTCTCAATCCTCCTCCCTCAGCCTCCTGAGTCGCTGGAATTACAGGCATGTGCCACTATGCCTGGCACCACTTGAATTTCCTTCCCTTTTTTTTTTTTTTTTGGTGGTTCTGGGTATTGAACCCAGGCCTTGTGCATGTGTTGACCTTCCGTTGACATGTTATGTGTAAGTGGAGAGTGTAGACCCATTTGAGTAGACTGAAAGCTACTGGTTTAAATGTGAAGACGATGATGATACCAGCAGTCATCAGTGGGCACAGTGCTTTGAGCAGTCAGTAGTGATGAGGGCTGACTCACTCACAGTTTCTCAGTGTTTCATTTTACCAGTAGCTTTGCAAACTGTGGTCACGGAAAGAAGGGTTTTTTTTTCCTTCCTTGGGAAACTATCATATATGCTAGGACTTATCACAGTTTTATTGCTGTCATCCTCCAGTTAATAAAATTTACAGCTTTATCAGTAGTACATTTGAGTTTACCAGATAATCTCAATATATTCAGAATTTACTCAGAGCTATTCATTCATGCACAGGCATTTCTATTTTTCATGTTGTAATTGTGGCACAGATAGCTAAGAATTACAGGCATGTGCTACCATGCCTGGCAATACTTGAATTCCTTCTTTTTTTTTTTGGTGGTTCTGGGGATTGAACCCAGGCCTTGTGCTTGTGTTCACCTTCCATTGACATGTTACGTGTAAGTAGAGAGTGTATTGGATTATTGGATTATTAAGAGATAGACAAGTGAATTTTAGACCTTTTCTGGAGTTACTTTATTCAGAGTAACAGAATTACTGGTATGACTGCCTTTAAGAACTAGGCCTTGGGTTTATGGCAATATTTTAAAAATGGCTTTCAGGATGATAAGTTGCAATTTAGGAAAGCTTTCTGCCCTTTTTTTTTTTTTAATTTGGGAAACCTTGGGTTAAGCAGTGGAAAAGTTTTTTATTTTATTTTTAATTACAGTTGGACACCATATCTTTATTTTATTTACTTATAATTATATAGTGCTGAGGATCAAACCCAGGGCCTTGCATGTGCTAGGTGAGTGCTCTACCGCTGAGCCCCAGCCCTAGCCCAGTGGAATAGTTTTCTTCTGCCTTCTCAGAGCCTTTACTTTCCTATTGTGTGTGTGACTTTCTCTGTAGGAGGGGGACTAAAGTGCCGCAGTCTGGCTGCAGCAAAATAACCAGGGGGCGACGAACAACTTGTGTACATTGATACAGCAGGAGTGGAAGCCGTTTATTGTAGGACAGGAGGGGTATATATACATTCCACACAGCTTATCTTAATTAACATAAACTAGATACAGCAGTCAACCAATAAGGAATCTCTACACTTAATGGCTCGCTGGCGTTACTTCACAAATCACTCCCTCTGCAAAATGCCAGGCACCATCTTGACTTGTTTACAGACTCTAACACTAAAGGTAATTGGAGATGAAGCAAAATGAGCGTATTTGACTATGGGACTCTCCCTCTTCCCTTTTAAGGCACTGTGTTTTCAACTAGAGTTCTTCAAAATGCATTTGTGAAACATTAACTGCGAGTTTTAGGAATTGTGTGAAGTGAATCCTGTAAGATACTCTCCAGTTAATAAGGGCATCATTGATAAAATCAAGGTCAAGAATGGTGCCTTCCTGCATACCTGTGAATTGTGGCTAGACCCAAGGAGGAAGCTTTTTCTTCCTCTTTCATCCCTTGGATCTTTGCCTTCATATCCCACATTCTTAGATGTGAGCAGACAAGGCCTGCATGTATTCAGTTAGTTGCATGTTAAGATTAAAAACTTATCTGAAACCTTTACTTCCATTATTTACTTTAATTCTCTTAAAGGAATAGGTTCTTAGTTTCTGGCAAGAGGTTGAATAAATTTGGTTGAAAATGGGCTTTAGAAATGGCCCATGACTGACCTGATGAGGAAGCTAGAGCATATTACTCAACACAACACCCTACATGAGTAAAGGCCTTTATATATCATGTGTACATCTCCACCTGACGCTCTGCCACAGTGGAGGTCTGGCATTAGGGCATATTGCTTTTTTAGAAAAATCATGCAAATGAATTTAGTTGAAGTAACTTGTAATCAAACTAAATTTCTATTTCTGTTGGTGAGCTTTTTCTGTGTAACTTTTTTTCCTTTGTTTCTTTCTTTTAAGCCAAGAAAGATGTTCCTCCTTCAGCTGTCACAAGACCAATATTTGGTATACTGGGCACAATCCATCTGGTGGCAGGTAAGAGAAAATAAGCTAAGATCAACAAAGAAGGCAATTAGAGTGTGAAAGTATACTTCATATCATGCTTTCTAGGCTAAGTATTTGTTATTAGTTTCCCTCTCTCTCCTCTCTCTCTCTCTCTCTCTTTTTTTTTTTGTGTGGTTCTTGGGGTGAACCCAGGGCCTTGAGTATGTGAGGCAAGCTCTCTGCCAACTGAGCCCCTGTCATTAGTTTCTAAAAATAATGCTCCTCAAATGGTTAAATTTATTAGCCTGGAGTTCCATTTTAAAAGAAAGATTTCATGTTTAGTTTTATTTCAAGTAGATTTGAAATCTGTCATCATTTATACATTTTTCATATATTCTGAGAGTATTTAAATAAAAATTTTGTGCATTGATGGATCAGGATATTCTATATCTTCAGCCCTATCTGGATATGACATAGTGTGTATGTGTTACAGAATGTTACTTGGTTTTGAGTTATTAAAAAGGTGATTTGAGGGCTGCTCAGTGGTAGAGCACTTGCCTAGCATGTGTGAGGCCCTTGGTTCAACCTTTAAAAAAAAAAAAGTTGATTTTTGTTCATCTAAATTCCATTTCATTATGAATTGCATTCTGCCATCATGTATAACAAATTAGAATAAATAAAGAATTTAATAAAGAAAAAATAAATTTAATTGAACTTTTAAAAAGTTGTTATTTCAGTCATTGTGCTAGATGTTGAGTTAGAAAAGAAAGTCTCTGTTCTGTTCATTCACAGTCTCATAAGAGAGCATATAAATAGTAGATTGTGACAAATTTTTGAAGAGATACGTATACAGGAAAACTTCCAGTGAGGACACTTGCAGGTAGAGGATTGAACAGGCCTTGAGAGCTGATCCAGTGAGGGCTCAGTACTTAAGTAGTATGTCAGAGTTCTCAGGTTCTATCCCTAGCAACACACACACACACACACACACACACCCCAAAAAACAAAAACCAGAAGAATTAATATAATGGGAAAGGGTCTCTCTGTTTTATTTGTCTGGGGATGAGGCTGCCAGGATCATGTCGGTGTACTGTGCATGGACCACAGTGACTTCTTGATTCCCAGCAACTCATCCTTGTAATATTGCAGTAACCAGTGAGTTTACTCCCTGTCACATTTTTCTACCGTTTAGAGTGTCTCCAAGGACATAGGAATAGTATAGAGGAGATGTTGCCCTTGGGTAGCAGATTTTGTGACTGTCATACTTCAAACTATGTGCAGGAAAATGATAGACAGAGACCTGAATGCCTTAGGGGTGATGAGAGAGGAAGTGTTTTCTGTCTTTTCTTTCTTCCTTTCATCCCTCTCTTCCTTTCTGTGCTGCTCATGGAACCCAGGGGCCTCAAGTATACCAGGCAAATGTTGTACCACTGAGCCACACCCCAGTCCTCTTTCTCCATTTTCTACCTGCTAGGACCACTCCTTTGGTGACCAAAAGGTTTTGTGTTTATCTTTTTGAGAAAAAATTGACCTTTCAATGGGAATTTTTCTAATATGCTAGTCTCTGTATTCATAAGTTGTATGATTGCTTTTAAAAATGGTACTTTTGAGTAGCACATTACAGTCTCATTTTCTTCTAGCCATTTAAAGTTTAAAAATAAAGACTATTACTCTGTTACTTTGGCTTTTTCTTTTCCTTTAGTGTTGTTGGGGGGTCAAACATAGGGCCTTGCATATGCTAAGCTAAATCCCCAGCCCCACTCTGTGAGACTTTTTTATTATTTATGTGTGTTTGGTCATACTTTTTTGTAGGTAATTATCTTATCGTCATTACCAAAAAGACAAAAATAGGTGAATTTTTCAATCATGTAATCTGGAGAGCAACAGATTTTGATGTCCTTTCTTATAAGAAGACAATGTTGCACTTAACTGATATTCAGGTAAGAACTGGAAGTAATTATTAATTGCAAGACCCAACAAAGTACCATGGGGCAAGGGGTTGCAGAATATAAAGTATATTTGATGAATTTCTTCTAAGCTTAATTATGAGGCAGGCTTTAGGGAAATGTCATTAGACCTATGTTTTTACCTATCCATAGATGATATTTTAAGAAATAGTTCATGTATTTTAATGGTTTTAATGTCTTCTTTTTAAAATAATCTTTAAATTATGAAATTTCTTATAGACAGAAAAGGACAAACAAAAAATGCATCCAGATTTAACTTCATGTTTTCTGTAAAGAAGTATTAGATACTTTTGAAGTTCTGCTCATTTCATTCCCTTTTTGTGCAGAGAAAAGTTTTCTTCACTTTTACTATATGTGAATAGAAGTAGTGGGTGTATGTGCATGTATGCACGTGTACACAGAATATATGCATGTATTTGCAGGCAGTCCTTCTTTGCCTGATAGGAATCTATATGCACAGATGTCAGTTACCTGTCCCCCAGCAACACAGTTTAAATTTTAGTTATCACAATAGATTAACTGAAGAAATAACTTTACAAAGATGAAAGTGTGAAGAAGCAAATGACAACTGTGGAAGTGAAATTGAAATTGAATGCATGCAATTGAACATAAATGGAGCACAGAAGAACTAGCTGACTATAGGCATGCTAACACTGTCTTAGAGGCTGTAGTTAGGCTGGCAGAAGTTGGAGTGAAGGCAAACTTATATATATTAATGATGAAGTGACTGTGACAAAAAGGAAGAAGAGGAAGTGATAACTTCAAAAACCTTCATGATAAATTAGAACCCTTGTGTTGTGACATTTAAACTGCAAAGTGTCAGAAACTGATTTAGACTTGGAAAGGTGTATGACAGTTTACCAAGGATGGAGTAGGTATTTTGTATCATGAGTTATATAACAGGGAAGAAGGCAAGCACTGTTAGTTTCCATTGATGAAATTTTTACAAAGAAACAAATATTTTTAATTCTTATGTTTCTAATGCTTGGAGTGTGCTAAAAATATTAGTTTTACTATTTTTTATTTCCATGTACATTTATAACTTACAATAAGAGAATTTTTAATATTTTGACAAACACTTTTAAATATCATGGAACAATCATCTTTTCTAATGAATTATTAAGATGGTTTAAGATTATTAAAATTAAAATAGTATCATCGTTTTTACAGTTTCACCCACAGTACAAAGTGAAGATGACCTATATACAAACAGCATCTATTTTTGCTTGAAAGTGTATGTAAGACTTGGCACGAATGGCATTACTCTGTACTGGTTGAAACTTACTATTTAAAAATAATATTATGGTTAGATATTTACACCTATGAGTGTTTTCCAAAGTAATTTTATGTTATAGTGTTTGCCTTAAAAATGAAGTTGTATTTTTATATCCAAGATTACAAAAATGTTTGTTTCTGAAAGACAATATATTTTTCCAAAACACATACCTTACCTGTGATAAACCTTTAAAACAATTAGACTATAGCGCTGTCTTAAATAAGTAAAATGTGGCATGTGATTTTTATACTTTTGAGTCATGATATTTTTAAAGAAATAAAAATGGCAGTATTCATTTAATAACCCTGGAATATTTACCTGGAATGAATTCTTCCTCATTGCTGCTCTCTCTCTCTGTGTTGTCAGGCCCTGAGCTGATGTTAGCTTTGCTTGCTACATCTGCTTTGACTTTACCTTCAATTAAAAAAAAAAAAGAAAAGAAATTTAAACTCAAATTAATAATTTTTAGTATGTAGATTTGTAACTCGTGGATTAACATGTTAATCATTTGGTAATCATTAGAAATTATCCCTCATGAATTTGTATGTTTCATTTGCCAAGTGAGGCTAACCAAGCAGGGTTGTTGTGAAGATTAAAGAGAATGAATGCAGTGTCTGGCATACAGTAGGTCATAATCTAAGATGATAATGTTTTGTTAAAACAACTCTTCTACCTTTTGGAGTAAAAATTGTGAAAAGGAGTCCTGCCTAATCAGGTCATGTGATAAGACCCTGAAATATTTGTATGTTCTATGTAAGGAGCTCTCCTAGGTCCTCAGAACATAATATGCCTCCCCTTCTCTGCCCAGTCCTTGCGCTGGTGCTGCTTAGTGACACTGGATTTAACACATGTTTATTTTGTCTTATTCTCATTTTGACAGATTTCCTTTTTTCAACTATGAAACATACTGATTTCCCCCGCTTTGTTTACAGTTACAAGATAATAAAACTTTCCTTTCGATGCTGAACCATGTCTTGAGTGTGGATGGGTTTTACTTTTCAACAACATATGATTTGACCCATACTTTGCAGCGGTTGTCCAACACCAGTCCAGAATTCCAAGAAATGAGTCTCTTGGAACGGGTAAGCTTGATCTTCACTTATTTATTCTTAGTTTTCTTTTTAAAGGACATGTCTCATTCATCCATAAAAAAAATTATTTTTTAATTTATATTTCCTTTTTTTTTTCTTTTGTGGTATTAGGGATTAAGCCCAGGTTCTCACACATGCTAGGCAAGTGCTCTACCACTGAGCTATACCCTCAGCAGTATTTTGACTTTTCTTTACTCTCAGGTATATATATTAGGATCATGTGTGGCTCTTTGAAAACATACCATGTTTTAAGTGTATATCACTGTCTCAAGTTGAGGGACCTGGAATCAATACGTGAACACAACCAAGATTGAGAAGAACTGGGGTAGATGTTCAAAAGTCTAGTCTAAACACACATGTAGGCGATTAGAATTTTTGCATCAATATTACCAGACTATCAAGTGCTGACTCTCAGGTTTCAGGTCTTCCAGCATTGCATTCATTTGTAATTCCATAGATTTCAGTGGCCTGTATTGTTGGCAATATAATGAGGTTTATAAAAATCGATTTTCTAGCAATTAATGTTCTTTTGGTAGTGATATTATTTAAACATTTTTAAACTATAAAAGTAACAATTTTTTAAGAGCTTGAAAGTATTCTTTTAAGTTTTTTTGTTATTTTGCCTTTTTTTTTTTTTTTTTTTTTAAATTAGGCCTCAGATGATCTCAACTAGAACTTTCTGCTATTCAGGAAACTGAATAATTGCTGCTCTGATTTTTTTAAATTAACAAACCATAGATGTGTTTAGGGGGTAGCCAGAATTTAAAAAGTTGCTGTTATCTCTTAGGTTGGACCATATGAAAGTGCCAGTTATTGACCATTTTTAACCACTAAAAATGATACTTCCATATAGTTCAACCTAAATTAACATTTTAGTTGACTGATCTTTTGAGTAAAATTTTATACTCTCAATCAAGTAAAATTATAAATTCATATGTTAATTTATATATAGGATAAGCAGTCAAGAAGTTTGGCTTTTAAATAAAAGAGAGTGAAGTGTTTTTCATTGTTTATCAAACTTCTCTTGAGTGCGTGTCATGAACCAGCCACTGTATTAGCTAGTGGGGACCCAGAATGAAAAGCTGTGGCCCCTGCTCTGTGGAAGAGCATATAGTCTACTTTAGGAGGTGTGTGATAGACACATATATCTTAAATACTTTATCTTAGCTTAAAATTTCTTTATCCATCAGTGTTTTCATGTAGAAACATAGATGTTTCTTCTTCTTTTTTTTTTTTTTTACCAGAAATTTAGAGACTGATTCTCACTGAGATGCTTAAGGCCTCGCTACATTGCTTAGTCTGGCTTTGAATTTGCAATCCTGCCTCAGCCTCCTGAGTTGCTGGGATTACAGGCCACATCACCATGCTTTTCTTTTTCGTTAGTTCCTGGATTCCAGATTGTCTTGTCTTTTGTTAATCACATCCATTCAACTTTCCAGTTTGAGTCTTTTAAAGATGAACATCTTAGAACAATTTGTGAGCAGAATCCTGTAGGTTTTTTAGTATGTTCCTTTCTAATCTTTCTTAGTTGCCACTTTCACTAATTCAGTGGCAATTTTGTTTTAGCGACTTGCCCCTTATCAATTTTTATTTCAAATCATTCAACTTCATAGAAATAGCAATTTGTTTTTAGTTTTATTTCATTAATTTAGAAAACATTTAGTTAATATGCAGTCACATCATTATGTAATGATGAATAACTAGTATGCCTGTCATAAACTAACTGGGAATATGTGTTCAGCTCTCAGTTAATGCCAAGTGTAAGGGCCATTCCCTATGAACTCTAGGTATGATTCAGCTGAGTGCTTAATACAGAGACTGCAGAGAGTTGGTCCATCTGCTGAGTCAAATAAACAGAGGTTGTTGAGGAGCTTCCTCTGTATTTGTAGTTGAGTATCCGAGTAGCCAGAGAGTTAAGTAGAGGTTGCCAGATCCTAGGCCTGTTTAGGCCAGGAAGAGTTTGGTTCTTAGATGGCAGAGAGTCACTGAAGAATGTCAAGCATATAAGAGACAGGAGGTGAGAGAAATCCTCCTGGCAGCACTGAGGAGGATGTGTGGGAGGGCTGATGCCAACACTGGAAGAAAAGGGGGAGGCTGGTGCAGTAGTGAGGCCGGAGTCAGATATTGCTGAGAGGGATGGAGGGAGAAATGTAGAACAGAGTGTGGATTTTGAAGGAGATTTGGTACTGGACAGTTGGCTAACGGAAGGGAAAGAGAGACCCTGAGAGGACTGCCAGGCTTCTCTCAGAGGCAGACAGGAGAGGGCAGATTTAAAGGGGGAGGATGTATTCTGGTGGGAGCCACCAGATGGAGATATTGATGAGTGTAGTTTTTTTTTTTTTTTCTATAGAAACTCAACATCACAGGAGCTATTTTATTAAGTTTTAAAACTTCTCTCAGGCAGATCAGCGATTTGTATGGAATGGTCATCTTCTAAGAGAACTGTCTGCTCAGCCAGAGGTAATGTAACTAACTAAAATCTGCTTACTTGTCACAGTTTTCATTTATACATGTTATAAAAAGACTATCTAATCACTAAGGATTTGGATAAATAATTCTAATTTAACTATAACTTACACATTTTGATCATGTCTACCCTCTTGTATCACTCTGGATTGAAGAAACCTAATGTTACTGTAATCTTTGTTAGTTTTCTATCACAGTGACAAAATACTTGAGGATAAGACAGAAGTTTTATTTTGGCCCATAGTTTTAGAGGTTTCAGTCTTTAATTGCTTTTGGGCCTGTGGTGAGGCAGAACGTCATGGCAGGGAACGCATGGTAGGGCAAATCTGCTTACCTCATGGTGACCAGGAAGCAGAGAGAGAGAGAGGTGGGAGTGGGCCACTCAAGGGCACACTCCTAGTGACCTAACTTCTTTCCAGTAGGCCCCAACTCCTGAAGTTTCTACCACTTCATAATAGGGTCACAGATTGGTGGCTACTCCTTTAACACATGACCATTGGGGGACATTTAAAACTCAAATAATAGTACCAACAGAAGCCTTAAGTTAAAAAACATTGTTTTCTGTAAGAGAGCTGGAATGAGTCTTGGTGGATGAATAATGAAGAAATGAAGGGCTGTGACTCAGTACCCAGGCTGAGTGGAAAGCTTTGCACCTGTCTTCCTAGGGTTGTGTGAGGCCCTTCTGTCTTGGAGAGAGACATGCCCAGATGCCACCTACCTCTTTCCTTTGTTTATGCAAATGAGTATAAGGAAGAGGCCCTGCTAGAAAAACATAATATATTGATTCTAGGAAAATAGGCTTGTTTACCTTATTTCTTGACATTTGTTAGGCTTTTTTGAGAAAACTAGTTCCAAGCTACAAACAGCGTGGAATGTCTTTTCCAGGAGGAGTGAATTGGTTGTAAGCAAACACTGAGAAGGAGGGAGGTATATATTCTGCAACTTCATGTAGTTTTATTAGTTTCCAAAATTTGAGTAATCAAGCCCAAATGATTGTACTGCATATCTAATGTAATTAGAGACATTCTTTAAAATGAAAAGTTATGTGAAAGCTTACTACCATGTTATGTATGTGTATTACCTCCCTGTGTATAAATGTATTTATTTATTTCTAAGATATGTTGATTCTAAATACATTGTATATCTTCATTTCAGGTTCACCGTTTTGCTCTTCCAGTGTTACATGGTTGTATCCTTACCTGATATTACTCTCTAGTTCCTAGCAGTCTATTAAAGTATATTATAAGATAGATTTGGAGATAGTGTCATATCTGGCATGAAAAGAGTATTTGGGGATTAATGGAAATTGCTACTGATAAGAAAATTAAACTCATTGACCTGAAATCTTAGCATTGATTATGAACAACTTTTTTAAAAAGAACTCTCAGACTAAATTATTGTCTCTGTTCAAGAGTTTGGGGGCTGGTAGTTTAAAGGAAGGAATTTGTGTACTATATTTTGCATTTATTTTATATTATATCGGTGAATTGTGCAGTAGAAGTGTGAACTTGTCTGTTTAAATGAAACCATTCCTTAGTAATTAATAAAGCTAGATTCAGGGACTAGGATGATTGACAGCTTGGAGAGGAGAAATGCAATTAAAAATTTTATTTGCATTTAAAGTAATGATAGAAATGAAAATCAAGTATAAAGAATAATGCTTGGGGAAAACCATAGCACAAATGCAAATTAAGTAGTGGTTGTATAATTGTAAGCTCATTTAAAAAACATGTCCTTAGCAGAGATAAATTAATAAAAATAGGGAAGAGAAATCAAAGTGTGAAATATGATATATCAAGAACTATGTAATGTTTTGAACAACCAACAATAAAAAATTAAAAAAAAAATAGGGAAGAGAAGTGAGCTGGCTCTTGAAGGATAGGTACAGTATATGCTAATGAGTGTTTGTAATTAGGACTGTGGTGTATAGAAATTGAGGTAATATTTTTTTATCAAGTAACCCCAAGGAACTTATTGTCACAACAGTCTTATTTATTCATTATGTTAACAGGATTTTATTATTGTATTTGTTCTACTTAAAAGCAGGAAAGTAATAGAAGAAACGTTTTACATAGTTATGAAAGAATAACATTAGAAAATCTCAGGATAAAAGGCTTACCTATTTCACTTTATTTTATTTTTTTTGTACCAGGATTGAACCTGGGGGCACTTAATTACTGAGCCAAATCCACAGCCCTTTTTATTTTTCATTTTTTTATTTTGAAACAAGGTCTCACTAAGTTACTCAGGGCCTTGCTAAGTTCCTGAGGCTGGCTTTGAACTCATGATCCTCCTGCCTCCTGACCACAGGTGTATGCCACTGTGCCTGGCTCACTTTACATTTAAAGCATTAAATGAGCTTTTGTTTAATGTAAATTGGTGACTAGGAACATAGTTCCATTTTCACATAACATAGAGAGAGGTCTGCAAGTACAAAGGTCTAAGGCAAAAGCTTGGCTGGAGCAGAGTGTAGACAAGGAGAGGCAGGAGCAGTGTTCAGCTGCATTCTGTCATCAGCTGGGTGCAGATAACTAAAGAGTTTTCTGGAATAACTGTAGCTTTTACTTTCACTGTGATGAAAAATTTTGAGGAGGGTTTGAGTTTGAAAATTGGCATGGTAAGACAGTGTCACTCTGATTGTGATATAGAGAATGGGCCAAAGGTGAGCAAGGGTGGATGGATGCAAGGAAAAATTAGGAAGAATGAGTTGGAGTCATCCAGCTGAGAAGTGACGTTGCCTAGGACCAGGGTGGAAATGTGACATTGGTGAAAGATGATCAGATTTTAGGTAACTTTTAAAGACAAAACCAACAGAATTTTCTAATATTGTACATGGTGAATGAAAAAGAGATTAGTGTGACTCTGAGGTTCTTGGCCAGAGTATGGAGGTGGGCTGGAGGTAGAAGAAGATTATCAGAGTCCATTTTGAACTGTTAAGCTTGAGGTTTCCATAGATAACCAAATAAAGATGACGAGAAGGCATTGGATCAGATGGGACTGGAGTTCAGGGAAGAAGTTCATGCTGGAGACAAATTTGAATATGTTCAGGGTATAGATGGCATTTCAAGCCATGGAACTGGATGAGGTCACCAAAGGAAGAAATGTACACAGAGAAGAGAAACAGTTATGGGAAAGGGGTGTCAGAGAGAAATGACCTGAAGGGGAAGGGAGTTCTAGATAGAGAAAAAATGTTAGATCCATGAACTGTAGTCCCCAGTGAGGATGAAGGACTTGAGAAGTGAGGATCCCAAGCAAATGTGCTAAAACAGTAGGTCCTAGGGTATTCCACACTTCAAAAATCAGAGAAAAAGGAGATGGGGTCGTAGCTCAGTGCTAGAGCGCTTGACTAGCACGTGTGAGGCCCTGGGTTTGATCCTTAGCACCACATAAAAATAAATAAATAAAATAAAGGTATTGTGTCTATCTACAACTAAAAATAGTTTTTAAAAAGTCAGAGAAATGAATATGAACCAGCAAAAGCCAGTGAGGAAGAGGAAAACCAGGTCAGAAATAGGGTCCCAGGAGCAAGCAAAGTTTCCAAGAGGGTGTGAGTAGCTGATATGCTGCTGATTAGTTAAATATGATGACTATTGGGGAAGGAGATTATGTTTTTGCTTCTCCCTAACTAAGGGATATTACCAAATTTTTAAAGATTTAGGAGAAGGAGAAGACTGCATGCTGAAGGATGCCTGTGAGTAGATGAGGTGGAGTGCTAGGCACGGGTAGAGGGCCCATCATGCTGTTAACCCACCACTGTAGAAGCCAAGCAGAGGTGTGGATATGGGTGCTGGTGGTTGTATGAATGTGGTAGGAGCATGTAGAGGACTTTTATCTTCACAGTGAAATAGGAAACCTTGTTATTGGTTGTGAGTGGACTGAGAGGAGTGTTGGAGGTGAGGAGACTGTGAAATGGACATCCTGGGGAGTAGCAGTGGGTCATGCTGGGAGTTACCTTATTGATAAGAGTAGAGATTAATTCATTCACTTTTTAAAATTATAGTGTTTGTATTTTGTTCTTGAGATATATATATATATCTTGTAATCAGAGGGAAGTGATTCACAAAGTAGTCATATTTTCTGGTAGATTTAGCTCTCTAAGAGTAGGCTCATGTCTTACTCATCTTTGTGCCCTGCCTCTAAATAGATAATTTGGGTGAGTAAATGAATAATGCTGCCTTGAAATCTTCTCTGGTGTTGTGGGAGCCTAAGAAGAGCCATTAGTAAGTCTGATGATGCCAGGTAATAGGAATGAATCATTAGCGATTCATATTGCTGGGGTCAAAATGGTACCGCCATTTTGTTTGGCATTCTCTTTGTGAATTTGCCAGCCCTCCTCCTGTGTGTTCCCAATACATTCATACCAGGAGATATTTACAGACATGCTCATAGCAACATGTTAGAGCAAAACTATGAATACAAGTTCCATCAGCAGAAGAATTAGGTCTTTTGTGGCATGGTCCTTAAAGATTACACATAGCACTGCAGAGGACTAAAGTGCTTTATGCAATGTTAAGATGAATCTTGGGGACTTATAGGGAAGAAAAAAAAAGGGCTTGAAGTTTATAAATAGTGAAGGACCATTTTTATAAAACTCAAAAACAAGCTCTGTGCTTTTAACTCATGGTTGCATGTATTGAAACTAAAAAGGGGAGTGGCTCCACTTACTAAAGACTTGTGAATATTCATGGGGAACCAGAAAAATTTGCGTGTTCTATCCCTTTTTCTCTTCGGACCATTGATATTAGGGTAACAATAGTCAAATATAGAAATGATACATATATTTCTACATGTTATATTTTTTTTAATATGGTTAAGTTATTACTATGCACTCGTGTTCTATCAATGGAAAATACTTCAATTGGATTCTCATCTCCAGGAGAAGTTGTTTCAGAGCTGGCGTGCGTTATTATGTAAGAGGTGAGCTTCTTTTTGTCAGTGTGATTCAGTACCAGTTCATATCTATCTCTAATCAACATCTCTCTTATGGTGATATGACTGTAATCTTTTGTGTTTTGTATTCATTATTATTTGTTAAATATTTGTATCCTGCTTCATTATAATAGGTAGGTCTTGTGTGTTTTACTCCAACTACTGTAATCACATGATTACAACGTGACACTATATGCTACTTCTTTAACAGCTCTAAGAGGAAAAGCACGTTTGTTAGATGTTGGAAAGTACAGCTGAACTCTGTAGATTTCAGTAACCTAAACTCATATTAGAATGTTCTTTCTCTTATTACTCTTGATTTATTTACCTGTGTAAAGCTAGACATTTGACCTCTTGCCTTCACTTTGTAAAATGTTTAGAGTTGGAAACTCTCTTGTAGAAACTAGGTTTTCTTCGATAGAAGTATATTTTATAATTGCAATTTTTTAATAGGCAGTAAATTTGCATATTTCAAATATTAAAAAAGATTTTAAGAGGTACTAAAAATGTCCGTCCCATTGTTGTCTTCATCTGCTCAGTTCTTAGTCCTACCAAGTAATCACGTTAGTTTCTTGTTTATCCTTCTGGATAATTTTATGTTGGACAGGTATTTGTTAATTATTTTTCTTCTTTTGTAGACAGTAGTTATACACTTTACATTTTCCTATGCCCTGTTTTCTTCCTTTTTTAAAATTTGTTATGTCTTGGCAATCTTTTCATAAAGAGATCTCTCTCACCTTTTCTTCTCCCTTTCCCTTTTCCATTCTTCCTCCTCTCTTCATTGTTAAAGTATCTCTATATTGTTTCTTAATTGGAATTATGGAAGGAAAAAAAAACAGCTTATGCCTCTGAAGATAATCTTAGGATTATTAAGATCAAGTCATTGCTAATTTGGCTCAATAATTTTGTCCTCTTGTGGTAATACATTAACAAAAACAATAATACTGCACACATACCTCAAAATGGTATATTTGAGAAATATATCACATAGAAAGGGTGCTAAGAAATATTTTGAGAGCTAAAAATCCATTGCTTTCTGAGAATTTAGTAATTTGTGTTAGGGACTAGCTTGAAAGTTGCTTTTGCTTAGCAAGTCTTTGTTAGCAAAAAAATATAAATAACTTTGTAAGGGAGCACTTCAGATACTGGAAAGGACTAAGCTCTGCCAACACTGTAGAGCAGTACTTTCCACACCAGGTTTCATTGGTATATTCATGGAGTTTAGAAGCTCTAGAATCATATGCAGTTTCTGTGTTTATTTTGATAATTAAAATTAACAGGCATCTTTCAGAAATCTTCTGAATTATTATAACTAAACAGTATTACTGTTGTGGGCCTCATTTGCCTATAATATTGTGTTATTACTAAGTATGATCACTTAAGTTGATTGTTTTTCAACTTTCAGAGTACTGTTTTTCAAAGTAGGATTTGTGGACATGCTTGAGAATTTTTTTTTTTTGGAAGATGTCTCAAGAAGCACTGTTTTAGAAAAAGTTTGTATAAAAAAAGTGACTAGCTTCATTTGTTTATTAATAGGTCTTTTTTTTTAATATTTATTTTTTAGTTGTAGTTGGACACAACACCTTTATTTCACTTGTTTATTTTTGTATGTGGTGCTGAAGATCGAACCCAGGGTCTCGCACGTGCAAGGCGAGCGCTCTACCGCTGAGCCACAACCCCAGCCCTACTAATAGGTCTTTAAAACTCCTATTTAAACCTGTTTAAATCAGTAAGCTGTTAGTTTTCAGGTCATATGTAATGTATTTGTTTAAATTTTAATTTTATAAGTACTTTCCCTTAAATTTGAACTGAGTTAATTTGTTCTAAGTGAACTTGAATTAGTGAGTTTCTGATGTGTTTCTTATGTACTAATTATAATTAAATCTTAATTTTTTCTCAATTTAGGAATTGATTCTGAAGGCCATGCAGCTAACTTTGTAGAAACAGAACAAATTGTTCACTATAATGGGAGCAGGGCTTCATTTGTACAGGTAAGTTATGACGGTGTCTGATTGGCAGCCTGCCTTTTGGCCTTTTCTGCTTGATCATAATTTTCTGTCATGTTGGAATCTTCCTCCCCTTCCTTTCCCCTCTTTAAGTAATATCTTTGTCTACCATGTGTAAGAAGTACCCCCCTCCCCTCCCCAAAGAATTGTTCATTAATCAGGCACTGTTCTGCTGACATTTCCTGCTCTTAAATACCTAAAGGAGAGGGTAGGGGAGGAGGGGTATGGTTATGGAAATGTAGCCACTTGTCTGAGGATAGGCTGTTGGCTTCTGGTTAGCTTTGCCTGCCTTGCACTTCACTGTGAAGTAATACCTCTCATCTGTTGCCTCCTCATGGAATTGTGGATCACTCCTGCTCCAGTGATAGTGTGTAATGTATTCATGTGTTCATAACTTTATTCATTTAAGAATGAATAAAGCAGTTTTAAAAATTTTCATGCTGCCAAATTATATAATAAACATGCCTTATTAATTTTTACTTGTGGGTAAATTGATTTATTTTAGAATTTAGGGAAAATACAAAACTGTCTACTACACAAATGCCATGTATGTAAAATTAGGACAAAGAGTCCTTTCTGAGCATTTTCCTATAAAATATGAACTTTTAGAGTAGGTGTGTATGTACCTCTTCCATAGCTGGTAGGTTGTATTATCTTATACCTTTGCAGAGTCACTAATATTTATACTGCTAACAATGAGTAAGTTGAGAAAAACAGTTTGTATGTATTTGATTTCACATTTCTCTCTTTTCTTTTAGACTCGAGGATCAATCCCTGTTTTCTGGTCCCAAAGACCAAACCTCAAGTACAAACCACGGCCGCAGATCAACAAAGTAGCAAATCATGTGTGTATCTTTCATTGGCTAAAAGTAGAAGCTCAGGGGCCATTTAGGTTTGCATATAAAGCTCTAGTTCTCCATAAGCAGAATTCAACATCTTGAGGTCCTTCTTGATTTTGGCACACAGTGAACCTCTAAACCAAAATGCTTCAAAGATTGCATATTAGAAATATGTGGGAAATGACTGTGCTTGAATGTTGATGGCAAATACAGATTTGAGGGAGCTCAGTAAGATTTACAACTTATGCTGTTGAAAATACTTAGTATATTTTATTTGAGGTTGTGCTCAGAATTAAACTAGTATTGTAGCTAAGAGTAAAATGGCTTGTAATTACTGTTTACTACATAGTATTTAGAATATCTAGAAAGCATCCTGATATGCTTTCTTGAGTATAGAAATGGGACATTTAAGGAGGTACTTTAAAAAAATTATAAAATATTCCTATAATGTAATATGGTAAATATCTATTTCCCCCCTCTAGATGGATGGTTTCCAAAGGCATTTTGATTCACAAGTAATTATTTATGGAAAACAAGTCATAATCAATCTGGTAGGTTTCTTGCATGTTTCTTTGGGGGGTGGAAATAAAACAATAATTTTGTTAATAGAAAATTTATAATTTTAAACATTTTTTAAATATACAATTCAGAGGCATTAAGTATTTCATAGTGTTTTATACCCATCACCACTATTCATTTCTGCTACTTTTCATCATACCAAACTCTGTACTCATTAAGTAATAACTTCCTATTACCTCCCTCACACCAGCCTCTATTAATTATTTTATTTCCAATCTCTCTGAACTTCCCTATTTTAGGTTTCCAATGTAAATAGAATCATATTATCTTTGTCCTTTTGTATTTTACTTATTTCACTTAGTATAAATGTTATAAACATTTTAAAGATTCATCCACGTTGTAGCATGTTTCAGAATTTTATTCTTTTTTAAGGTTGAATAGTATTCTGTTGTAGCTGTATGCTACATTCATCTATTGATAGTTATTTAGCTTATTTCTACTTTTTGGTTATTGTGAATAATGCCATTATGAACATTCATGTGCAAGCTTCTCTACTTGAGTCTCTGCTTCCAATTCTTTTAGATTTAATTTTTTTTCCCCCAGTGCTAGGGATTATACCCAGGGCATCATGCATTCTAGACAAGTGTTCTACCACTGAGCCATATCTCCAACCCTTAATTCTTTTAGGTATATTCCTAGAAGTGGAATTGCTAGATCATGTGATGATTCTGTTTAATATTTTGAGGAACAACAGAACTGTTATTCATAGTGGCTGCCCCATTTCTATTGGCAGTTCACTAGGGTAGGGTTGCAGTTTCTCCAGTCCCTGGCAACAGTTATTTTGATGATAGGTATACTAATGGGTGTGGAATTGGTGTCTCATAGTGGTTTTGATTTAGATTTATGTAATGACTGGTGATGTTGAACATCTTTTCATGTGCTTATTGGCCATTTGTGTATCTTTTTTTAGGAGCATTTCTTTTTTTTTTTCTATGATGTTTACTTAAGTCAGTTTTTTTTTTTTTTTTTTTTGTGGTTCTGGGGATTGAACCCAGGGCCTTGTGCATGCAAAGCAAGCCCTCTACCAAATGAGCTATATATCCCCAGCCCTTGTTTTGTCTCTGTTGTGAGTGGTAGTCATTCTGTCTATATCCTGGATATTTAGAGGTTTTTTTCAAATATTTTCTCCTATTCTTTCAGTTGGCTTTTCATTCTCTTGAGAGTAGTATGTAGTGCACAAAAGCTTTTAATTCTAATGAAGTTCAGCTTATCCGTTTTTTCTTTTGTTGTCTGTGCTCTTGGTGTCATATCAAACAAACTCATTGCTAAATCCATGAATTGTCCCGGACAGTATTTTCTTCAAAGAATTTTCTAAAAAAGCTTTAGATCTGACATTTAGGCCTTTGATCCATTTTGAGTTAACTTTTGTATGTGGTGTAAGGTAAGGGTACACCTTCATTTTTTGCATATAGATTTCTAGTTTTTTGAACACCATTTGTCAAAAAGACTGTCCAGTTCTTATTGAATGGTTGAGACCTCCTTATCAAAAATCAGTTGAACTTATATGCAAGGGCCAATTTGGGGACCTTCTGGCCTATGCCATTGGCCTGTGTTGTGTGTCCTTATGTCAGTATGACACTGTGGCTTTCTTTAGTAAGTTTTGAAATCAAGAAGCATGAGATCCCCCTCCAACTTCCTCTTCCTTTTGCAAGATTATTTTGGCTATTTGGGGTCCCTTGAAATTCCATTCCATTGGAGGTTTTTCTATTTCTGCAAAAAATGCCACTGAGATTTTTTTAAAATTTCCTGATTTTTTGCCATTGAGATTTTAATAGAGATTATAGGGACTCTGTAGATGACTTTGGGTAGTATTATCATCTTAATATTTTAAGTGTCAGCCCATGAACACCGATGTCTTTCCATTTTTAAGTTTCAGCAATGTAGTTTTGGGGGAACATGTTTTCATTTCCTTGAATAAGTTTATTCCTGAGTATTCTTTCTGATGCTATTGTAAATGGAACTCTTAATTTTCTTTTAGAACTTTTCATTGTTAGTGTATAGAAATGTAACTGATTATTGTGTGTTGATTTTTGTATGCTGCAGCTTTGCTGAATTTATTATCTTTAATAAATATGTAGTTTTTGGTTTTTTGTGGTATCATTGTTTGACTTTGATATCGGGATAATCTTTTTCTTATAAAACAAGTTAGAAATCATTCCCTCTTCTGTGTTTTGAAAAAGAAGAGTGGTGTTAATTCTTCCATAAATGTTTGGTAAAATTCACCTGTGAAGCTATTTGGTTTAGGGCTTTTTGTTGGGAAACTTTTCAGTACTCATTCAGTCTCCTTTCTAGTTATTGGTTGATTGATATTTTCTCTCTTTATGATTAAGTTTTGGTAGATTCTGTATGTCTAGGAATTTATTCATATCTAGGTTATACATTTGTTGATACATGAGTGCTAATATTTTAATATTAATATTAAAATAATACTTTAATCCTTTTTATTTCTCAAAAATTGTTAGTAATGTCCTCACTATCATTCCTAGTTTTAGTAATTTGAGTCTTCTCTCTTTTTTTTTGAATGGAGGGGGGTCATTCTAGCTAAAGTTTTTTAAATTTTATTAACCTTTTCAAACAATGGACTTTTTGTTTTGTTGGTATTTTCTCTTGGTTTTCTATTTGTTTTGTTTCTCTCTGCTCTAATCTTTATCATGTCCTTTACTTGTGTTAGCTTTGGGTTTAGTTTGCTCTCCTTTTTCTAGTTCTAGACATTTGACTCTTATTTTCTAGTTTCTAGACATAAAATTAGATCATGGATTGAGGTTCTCCTTTTTTTTTGTATGCCTTTATAGCAGTGAATTCTTCTTAGCACTGCTTTTGCTTTACCTCATAAGTTGTGGCATATTATATTGTCCATTTGTCTCAAGTACTTTTTAATTTCTCTGGTGATTTTTTTCTTTGACCCAGTGGTTGTTCAGGAGTATGTTGCTTTCACATATTTGTGAAATTTCTATTCTTCTGTTATTGTGATCAGAAAATATATTTTACTTTTTAAAAATTTATTAGAAGACTTGCTTTGTGGACTGACATATGGATTATCCTGGAGAATGTTCCATGTGCCCTTTGGAAAGATGTGTATTCTGCTGTTAATGGGGTAGAATATTCTGCATATTTGTTGGCCTAATGGGATCTATGTTACTTAAATCCTCCATTTTCTTATGGATCCTCTGTATGATTGTTTTGTCTGTTATAAAAATGAGGTATTGAAAGTTTTCAACTATTATGGTTAGACTTTTATATTGCCAGTGTTGCTTCATTATATTTTTGGACTCTGATGGCTTGTTGCTTCTTTATTTTTAATTGTTAGATCTTCTTGGTGAATTGACTCTTTTATTAATATTTAATGTTCTCTTATAACAGCTTTTCACTTAGAGTATATTTTACCCGATACTAATACAATTGCTCTAGCTCTTTTGATTGCTATTTGCACAGAATATCTTCTTTCATCCTTTTACTTTCAACCTGTATGTATCTTGAAAGTAAATGTCTTATAAACACCATAGGGTTCGTTCTTATTTTCTATCCTTTCTCCCAATCTATCTCTTTTTATTGAAGAATTAATTCACTTATATTTAAATTAATTACTGATAACAAAGGATTTGCTTTTGCCATTTTGCTATTATTTCCTATATGACCTGTAGTTTTTGTTACCTATTTCCTCCATTGCTGTCTTTTGTGTTTAGTTGATTCTTTGTAGTGATATGTTTGAATTGCCTTCTTATTTTCTTTTGTGTATATTCTGTAGCTTTCTTTTGGTTAGCCCGAGGATCATATATAATTTCTAAAGTTAAAACTATCTAATTTTAATTATAACCAATTTCAGTTGCATATAGAGCTCTAATCCTAAAAAGGTTTGCCCTCCCTTTTGTGTTGTGGATATTGCAAATTGTGGCTTTACACATTGTGTTCCTAATAATACAGATTTACAGTTTTTATTCATTTTACTTTTAAATCCTGTAGAAAATTTTAAAATGGAGTTATAGAGCAAGATTACAATAATACTGGGTTTTATATTTGCCCTTGTATTTACCTTTACTTATTCTACAAAGTTAGTTCAGATAACTTCTAGGTTTGTTGTTTCTGTGCCAAAATGAGAACTTGAAGCATCCTTGTTATTCTTCTGATCTCTCTCTTTAAATAAACAAAGTTATTTATGGTGTTTTAAATTTTTTTTACAGGTAAACCAGAAGGGCTCAGAGAAACCACTTGAACAAACATTTGCAACAATGGTGTCTTCCTTGGGAAGTGGAATGATCAGGTACCTCACTCAGAATCTGTTGCTGGATTTCTCAGGTCCAATATGCATTTGCTGTGGCCAATAGGTCAGGAATTTCAGTCTTTTGTGATTGTTTGGTGTGTGGCCTCTGATGTTAAACACCATATTTTCTGGATCAGTTAAGCTTTTGCATGGTGACCTCATTTGGAACATTACCTATACCTGTCCTAATACCAGGCAACAGTTGCAAATACTATGTATCCTTGTGAAAAGATGGGATCCTAAAGCATCAGTTTCCCTGTGGAAAGGTACAAAGTAAGGCAGCCCATTTGGAGCTTCTCCCTAGGAAACTGGGTGGGTGGTGGGGGTATACAATAGTAAGAAGTGGTTACTAGCATTTGGGGAGAAATTGTATGGAAAAGTTTAAGTGTAGTACACAAAGATGAATAATATAATGAATCTTGGGGAAGACCTTCAGGCTTTCCTGTCCAACTCAAAAGCTCTAGCAAATTCATCAGATCCTCGCTCCATCCATACTTCCACCTTTTGAGAGTAGAACCTGCCCAGATATGCTTTAGGAGACTCAAGAGAGGGGACTCCTATACAAGGTGTGCCTGAGAATCTATACCAACAGACCCCATGATCGGAATCTCTGGGGTTGGAGTCCAGCTTATGTGTACTGGAAAAAGTTCATCTGTTGGCTCCTGTGTACACCCCTGGTTAGATCCCTGTGCCTATACAGTTTCCATAGGCATTTTTTGCCTCCAGAGTTGTCCTGAGAAATTTGGAGTTTTTAACAACAGCTAACTTTGAGAACTTGAGGTGTGAATTAAGAGTCTAGAGTCATGCCCTTTGGGCAATGTGAAGGTTGCCTACTGCTAAAGAACAAGCAACCCAAAGCTATTTATTTTGTGAACTCTAAAGACCACCAGACAGAGGAACATAATAAGATTGTATTTGAATTTTTAAAAAGTTGATAAATACATATTCTGGCAGGCAGGAAAATCAGTGAGTTGATTTAAATCTGCAGTCAAATGGTAGATTTGTTGTTGTCTCTAAGATGTCTCTTGTACTGGTAAACCTTTTAGTTGTTAAGCCAGTTATTACAATGAGTGAAGCAAGTGGATGAATATGGCCAGAAAAAGAAAAGTCATATGGCCACACTTATGAAGACTACTAGGACTCATTTAGCAGTGGAAAGTTATTCTTTTGGAAACTGGATGAAAAATACCTAGATGTGTAAGGTGAAGTATCTCTAAGGGTTTCTTCCTAGAACTTGGAGAGAAGTAAAACTGCTCAACCATTGGGTTCAGAGTAAAATAATATGTTTAAAATAATTAATCATCAGAATATAACTCTGTAACTCATTCTTGGAAGACATAACTGATTTAAAATAAGGGTACAAGCGTAACAATCCAAGTATGTTTAGATGCTAGTGAGCTATATAGATTCTTTTGGTTTGTTGGTTTTCTTTTTTTTCTAATTTCATTTTATTATGGTAGGAACACTTAATATGAGAACTACTTTAACAAAAATTTTAAGTGTACAATACAGTATTGTTGACGAGAGGTCCAGTGTTGTACAGTAGCACTTTCTAGTAGCACTTTCATTTTGCTTTACTAAAACATTATGCCTGCTTAGAAGGAAATTGAATGATTTCTTATCAATATCTGAATCTTTCCTTTTGCTAGATACATTGCCTTTGACTTCCATAAGGAATGTAAAAATATGAGATGGGATCGTCTAAGTATTTTATTGGATCAGGTAGCAGAAATTCAAGATGAATTAAGGTAAGCTATATTGTTTCCTTGTGGAGGTAAAAGGAATGAATGTGTGTGTATATATACATATATATAATATCAATCATTTATTATATAATATCTAGTAGACTTACAAAGGAAGTTTCCTTAGTTGTCAGTGCTTTGTATACTATTTTATTTTGGTCCTTGAGTGTATTATTTTATTGTTTAAATTTTTTATTGGAAAGATGAGAATTGATGATTTAAAACTATTCCTAAATTCTTAAAAATGACCCATTTGGATATATTCATACTATAAATTATCTTTAACACATTTACAAATTTTCACATAACTGATCTGGTTTACCACTGTTCTATATTCAGTTGTTTTCACTAAACATTCCATCATAGTTTTTTTGATTATTAGTCTGCATAGACTTTTTAATGTTAGTGTTAGTGGCTTTTCTGTATTCCGTTAGGTCTAACATGATTTGAAACAAATGTTTTCCTTTACATTAAACACCCAGTTCATTTCCTCTTCTCCTATCCTGAGCAAGCTACAGTGTGTCACTTGGGTTACATGTATATATAGATTTTTACTTCTGTTAAATCCCCCCTTCCCAAATTCTCAAGAGTAGGATTAATAAAGGTCTGAATATATTTGTGGTACTTTCTGTATGCATTTACTATATTATTTATCATGTTGGTTCACAGATTTACTGTATTCTATGCATATGTCTGTCTTCACTTATTTTAAAGGTAGAAGAAGGAATCTATAAATCATTCTATCATTTTATTCTGCCTCTGTGTGATAGTTCTAGACTCAGATATGCCTTTTAATTTTAACTACACAGGCATATAATAAAACTGCTGATAGACATTTTCTCAGTTTCTTTTTCCCTTGTTTTGTTGTTGTTATTGTTACTGCAGTGCTGGAGATGGGACCTAGGGCTTTGTGCATGCTTGGCAAGTGCTCTATCACTGAGCTGCATCCCTAGCCCTTGGTTTTTTAAAATATATTTTTATGTATATTAAGTAATCAAAAATAGTTCTACTTTTTTTTTTTTCTGTGAGATTTTTGTCACAAATATTGCTGATGTAGGGAGATTGACCTGTATTGTTGTTGGGCTATTAGAGATCAGTGAAAACATTGGCTGGGCCTGGCATCTTACTGGTGGGTGAGGTGTGGTTCCTTGGGTTCACCCATTAATTGCTGTTATACAAGAAAGTAAGAAAGTAGGAGGATTATACCAGAATCTATATCCATTGCCATTCACTGTGCCACTGAGACAGTAGTAGATTTTACCAGTGACTTTCAGATGACCTCTCAAGATAACTTTTTTTCCAGAGGCTTTTGTGATAGTAGAAAGAATCTGGGCTTTCAGGTCTGATTTGTCTTGGTTTAAATCTCAGTTTGTCTCTCATTAGCCTTGTGACCTAGGCACCTGTTGGATATCTTTAAACTTTGGTTTTTCTGTTTGTAAAGTGGAGCTAAGGACACCTACCTCATAGATTTATTGTAGGGTTTACAAAATAATATTTACAAAAATCTAGCATTTATTTCTTAAGTACTAATGGGGTGCCATCACACACACAACATAGACACACACATACACACACACACACACACACACACTCATGCATATGTATACATGTGTGCTAACTCTAAATCTGCCTCACTAGTCCTCCATGAATCTCATGTAGATTTAAACACCTTTTAGGTCTTTATTACTAAGACCATGATTTCTATGTAGCCCTCGATTTATTGTATCTCCTCCCTTCTTTCGAGTTTTGGAGAATAATTTCAATACATTAATATCATCTAGTGTTCATGCTATGCCTCATACACTCTGGTAAATACTTTTGTGTGTGTGTGCATGTGTTATGAATTATCTCATTCAAACTTTAAAGCAGTCTAATGAAGGTACTATTGCCTCCATTTTGTGGATAAAAATACATTATTTGAAGTTACAAAATTAGGTATTTGCTGTGGTGCTAAGGCTAGCAAACAGATTATTTACTGCCAGACTCCCTTTTCTTAACCATCACACTGAGTGTTGTCAGATTTTTGAATTCCTATCTGGGTAGTTAAATAGAGAAAGGGAAGCAAATTTTTCAAATCATACTTGATTATACTTTTTATATTTTGTACTATTTGCATGTTATCCATTTAAAAAGAAGAAAAAAATGCCTATATAGTATGTAGATCCACCCTTGCTTCATAGATTCTGATTCAGTTGATCTTAAAAGCAGGAATTTTTACTTTTAACCAGAAACCCAGTGGAGTCTGATATGGATTATACAGGGACCATGAAACCCTGATATAAAGGGACTTAGTTGAAATAATAATGTTAAAGGAACCTCTTCTGACCTTGGGAAAAATGATTGATGTGCATAGCAATCTATATAATACTCCCAAGTCTACTTTTTCACTTCTCTTAGATGTAGTGACCTCTGATATGCACATCTTTTTTGGATAGGGGGCTGTGTGGCCTCGGCCATTCAAACTGCTATTTGATCTAGAATAATGAAATATGCCTGACCATGCATTCCTGTCAGACTTTTTAATTCATAACTTTTAGTAATGTCATTGAAATGAGACCCATGTTCTAAAACAGTTATACCATTAGTAGATTTGACCTACTTTGGTATGAGAGTGTTTATACAAATATGTTTTAGTTATTTTCTAGTAGACTCTGCCGGCAAAGTGGTGGCAAACCAGGAAGGCGTGTTCCGCAGCAATTGCATGGATTGTCTAGATAGAACCAATGTGATCCAGAGTTTGTTAGCTCGTCGGTCTCTTCAGGCCCAGCTTCAGGTGTGAATTCTTTTTTTCTTTTTTTCCCTCTCATTGAAAAACAATATAACAGAAAATTTAAAGAACCTTCATTTTTGAAAACCCCAAATAATGATTCACATTGCCCTCACTCTAAACTAAACTTTTAATGTTTGTGTCTTGCCCTCACTGGTGTGCACATTTTCTATAATGGTTGTCTGTGTGTGTGTGTGTGTATATATATATATGCACAATTTTTAATATTACTGTTTTCCTTTAGTATTTACTAAGCCAGTTAAGTTGCTATATTTTGGGCTTTTAAAAAACACTGAAGAAAATATATCTGTTCTTGTTATTATTGTCAACTTAAACTATTTCCTTTGGGTTAGTTCCAAGAAGTGAAATTACTGGATTAAGCTGATGTCAGCAATAAATAAGTGAATTCATTTCATTGAACTTGTGCCAGTGTTAGCTAGTTTTATTTAAAACAACTTTTTTTTCTCTCTCTTTTAATTCTACAAAGTAGTTCTTCCAAGTTGTTCTCATTTGCATCTCTTGTATTACTAGCAAGGGATATTAACTCTTGGCCAAAAAGTTTCTGATACAATTTTGCTTTACCACTAAGATTATACTAATGTGAAAAATAGATAAAAATTTCTTTTTCTGTTATATTTGCAATTAAAAATTTGTAGCACCCAGGTTTCTAAATAACATTGGCATTTGTTGGGTGGGACAAAGTTTATCCCAAATGATTTCCTGCCTAGGTAGTTAGTATGTATTCAGTTTTATTTCTGACTATTATATGATACCCAGGAGGAAATTATGAAGGTAAAATACCTCCTTTAGAATGAATGATTCTTGAATCCTACAGTAACACATGTCATAGGAGTGAGTTCCCTATTTAGGAAGTCTCTAATTTGTATTGTACTATGTCCTTGTCCTTATGAAAATTTTCAGTAGAAACAGTGTTAGGAATGGTTTGGTTCCATGGCTGATTTACCAAAACCTATTTAAATAGATTCTTCAGCCTTAAGTCTTTTACGTTCTAAACCTGACAAACCTTCAGGACTGTGTTGGTAGGAGTTTCTCTAGCAGCATTACATTATTGTGGGGGCTCTCCAGTTGTGCTTTCCTCCTTCCACTGAAGGCAGTGTTTTTACCAGCTGTAAGCCATTGAGGGTGGCTCCTGCTGTGTCTGAGGGTAGAGTGATCCATTCTCGGTGAGAGGTAGTGAGCTATCATTTGAGGTAAGAAAAAAAGATGGTGGTTCCCAGAGAGTTGGTGGCCTGAGACCAAGGCCACGGCAGGACTTCCTAATCTGTGGTCAGTGGACGTCACAGAGGAGTCCATAGAGGGGATTCAAGAACCCACTGACTCCTATGGTTTGGGGATGGTAGATGTGTAGCATTTATCAGGTTCTCACATGTGCCTGGAATAGAGGGTAGGCTATAGTGAGTCCGGAGTGAAAGCGTCTGGGGATGGTGAACTAGGAGAGGGCAGAGGAGTAAAGCAGTAGAAGGTTAGAATGGGAGGGAAGGAGGAAGTAGTGGCTCAGATCCCACAGCAGCTTTCAGTCTTACTCATGCCCTTCTCCCTGAATATGCTCCTGCTACTTTCTCTGTGATTCTGGGGCTCAAAGGAGCCCCCAAGAGAGTCTTTGCAGTTTGCCCTGGCTGAGAAAGGTTTCTGGTACTTGGGATGCATCTCTGTCTTACAACCAACAGCCAGGATCCATTTGATAGGATTTCAAGACTGTCTCTGCCTTTTCTTCTTAAATCTTATGTCTGCTGAAATCTATTCCACATAAATACGGGTGTGGTTCTTATTCTAGAGACTAGGCGTTTTGCACGTGGGACAAAAGCTTGAAGAACAAGATGAATTTGAGAAGATTTATAAAAATGGCAAGTAATTTCTTTAATTGATCACAGTTGCTCAAATTTCAAAATAAATGTTTTGGATTCAGAGATTTGGTTGTCACTTTTATCATATCAGCTGCTTTGTACTTTTTGTCACAGCCTGGGCTGACAACGCAAATGCTTGTGCCAAACAATATGCAGGAACCGGTGCCTTGAAGACTGACTTTACCAGGTAAGCCGCACTTCTGAAATGGCATTGCTCATCATAGTCCTGGTGACTTTTAGAATCCTGTGGGAAACTTTTGGGGAATGGCAGCTACAGCAGCCAAACACCAGTACCTAGTACTCACTTTGGCACCTGTTGTGTCGGGGTTAATGGGAGATAAGGCCCAAACACTGGTAGGTTCTTAGCCTCCCTGGAGGATTCTGATGCACAGGGTATGTTGAGAACACAGCTCTGCAGTGCTTCTCAGCCTTCATCGTGCACTCGAATCACTCACCTGATTCTGCAAATCTGAGGTGTGCCTGAGAGTTGTAGCTCTAAAAAGCTTCCAGGTGATGTTGATGCTGCTTTCAGGGACCGCACTTGATGGTGAGGAGTTATAACATTTCGAATACATTACAAATGCATTTGGGTCTTTTCTGCTGTAGTGCATGTTTTCCCTGGGAGCAAAATGCAGTTTCTAGTCTCTTTGCTGTTTCATACCACTTCACCTGGGCTGTAGGACTGTCTTCATATTTCTAGTTTTTGCAGCTGGGACTGTTCCTTCTTGTGCCTACTTTAGTGATATTTTAGGAAAAGAATTCAGTTGGTCTTCTATATCCACGGGTTCTAAATATGTGAATTCAACCAACCACAGATTGAAAATAGTCAGGAAAAAAAAAGTTCTGAGCATGTTCAGACTTTTTTTCCTTGTCATTATTCCCTAGACAATATAATATAACAACTATTTATTTATCCAGAAATGACTTAAAGTGTAGGGAAGGATGTATGTAGGGCATATGCAAATACTATGCCTTTTTATATAAAGAACTTGAGCATCTGCAGACTTTGATATCTGCTGGGATCCCCCGTGGATACTGAGGTACAACTGTATGTATTTCTTAGACTTGCTAGTGACTTCTTTGTGAAATTTCTATATTTTCAGTAATGAGTTTTAACATATTTGTAACTCACTTGGTTTCATGACATATGACCTTAAAGCAGTGTAAGAATTTAGTGTGTAAGTATGTAATTTAAAACTGACCTTTTATAACCAGAACTGGGAAGAGAACTCAGTTGGGACTCATAATGGATGGTTGGAATTCACTCAAACGATATTACAAGAACAACTTTTCTGATGGATTTAGACAAGTAAGTTTCTAGTTGATGCTTTCTTTGTTCATTGGATGGTAGTTTTGCATTATTACCCAATAATAATAATAAAATAATAATAATATCACATTGAGTTTGGGAAGTTTCTAATTTCCTTCTCTCTATTCTAGGATTCCATAGACTTATTTCTTGGGAACTATTCAGTGGATGAATTAGAGTCTCATAGTCCTTTAAGTGTTCCAAAGGACTGGAAATTCCTGGCTGTAAGCAACTTTTATGTTTTTCAAGTTTTTAAAGCATTGTTTCTGAAGGGTAGATGGTACCAATTCCCCTTGACTAAAAACAGTGCATGCTATCATTCTAAATGGAATATAAATACTTAGGATTCCCTAAAGAGAAGATTACAGTGCAAAGTAAAGTAATTGAGCATTTGTGTTCTTTCCCTGATACTCCCTTTCACATCCATTTTGTGTGGGAACACATAAGCAAAGGAATGTGGAGGATTCCTTGTTCAGGAAGACTGCAGTCCTCTTAGAACTGAGGAATTGCCAGAGATACAAACTTGTAACAATGGAAGGCAAAGTATGCTTTTAGCACTTCTCTTGTTTTTTACCTCTGTTTGCCAAACTTTGCAAGAGCCTCTCATGCTATTGGGCAAAGTACCCTGGGATGGAGGGGAGGCCTGGTAATCTAGATTCTCATTTGGGAGACTTCCTTCTGCTTGGCATGCCTTCATTTGGAGCAGAGATATGCTTCCACTGATTTTGTAACAACCAATGTTGCCTTGGAGTTGTGGTTGAACCCCTAAATAAGGGGTCTGTTTAAAAAAAGAAAGATATTATGTATTATCAGCCTGCAAAAGAGTTTTATTCTTTTTCCAAGCAAAACAAGCACAACTGATGTTGCAAACCTTGAATGACGGTATCTCTTTCTATTATCTTTTCCAGTTGCCTATTATTATGGTTGTTGCCTTTTCGATGTGCATTATCTGTTTGCTTATGGCTGGTAAGTCTGTTCTTATTTTATATTCTTATATTTTTTATTTCTTAGAATGTTGAACTTATACATCTTGAATTTTTTAGTTCATTCAACATTTAATGTTTACCTTTTTAAATTGAAGGAGAATGGAGTAGATGAGACTAGTTGTTTTGATGTTATAAGAAGAAAAAATATATGGTAGTTTAAATTAATTCAGTTTTGTTTGTTTTTGTGGTGCTAGGGGTCAAACCCAGTGCTTTGCGCATGGCTAGGCAAATGTTCTACCACTGAGATACACCCTCAGCCCGTGTAATTTTTTATTTTTGTTTTTTATTATATGTAGTACTGGGAATTGAACCCAGAGCCTCACCCATACATTCTACCATTGAGCTATATCTCCAGTCCTGTTTGGTTTTATCCTTAAGATTTTGATAACTTTTCTTATTACCAAAGTAATACATAATAAGTATAGAAAATAGTTAGGTAAAAAAAAGAAAAATATTATCCTGCCTTCCAGAGAGAAGTTAACCACTCAACATTTTGATGTTTTATTTTTTGTGTTTTTCTTTTGATACTGGGGATTGAATATAAGGGTATTTTACCACTGAGCTACATCCCCAACCCTTTTAATTTTTTATTTTGAGACAGGGTCTCACTAAGTTGCTGAGGCAGGCCTCAAACTTATAATCCTCCTGCTTTAACCTCCCAAATTGTTGGGATTATAGGCATGTGCCACCATGCCTGGCTTGATGTTTTATCTTTATAAATATGTGAATATTTTTTGTAAGAGAGATAGTATGCATTTTTGTAATCTTATTTTTGCACTGAGCAATAGGAGTATTCTCATGTTCTTCACTTTTAATGGCTTCATTTGTGGTTGTATAATTATTGAACCAGGCACTTATCATTGGACAAATAAACATTATTAATAGATTAAAGATATTACTTACCATTAAATTTTAAAAGATTAGGAGTAAAATTACCTAAGAATCTGAACTGAAAGGTCTTTGTTTTTCTTTTGTGCTTAGTATTTTCTCATGTTAATAATCATTTAAGCTTAAGTGAAAGGCTTGCATTATGTACTTGTGCTTTGGGCTGAATCCGACTTTGGTATGTCATTCCTCTAAGGCACAAGTTCAGGCACTCTGGGAAGAGAGGCCCCTTCAGTTGTCGGCCTCCGGCCTTGTTTGTCTGTCTGAATCCCATTTAGTTGGGCACCACTCAGATGCCCCCTCTGACAGTGTCCCTGAGACCTCCACAGAAGTTATCTTTCCTTCTCTGGATTTCCATAGCACTCTCAATACCTCTCTTCCAGCACTCTCCTCTTTGAACTCATAAATACCTAGGGTTTTACTCTAGAGGTAAAATCCCTCTTTAGAGTGTTGGGCAGAACCAGTGTGTATTTCTTTATGGCAATCATATGTATACTTGTTTGTCTTTTTCATTGGGTCAGCAACTTTTTTTTTTTTTTTTGTACTGGAAATTAAACCAGGGGCTGTTAACTACTGAAGCACATCCCTGGCCCTTTTTTGTATTTTATTTAGAGACAGGGTCTCACTGAGTTGCTGAGGCTGGCTTTGAACTCACAATCCTCTTGCCTCAGCCTCCTGGCCTCTGGGATTACAGGCATATGCCACTGTGCCCAGCCAGATCAGCAACTTTCTGAGGGCAGAGAATATGTCTTACTGTTTCATTTCCAATATTGAAGATGTAGTAAGCCCTCAGATGTATGCAGAACTAAGGATTTATTCAACTACCATCCCCACCTCCACTGCTGTTTCTGGCAGTTTCTTGAGGGGGAGGCTCAGTGCCTATTCATCTCTGTGTTCCCTTCCTGTTACACATGGCAGACTGTTACCACTGGAGTGATGGGTAGGCGGAAGGAACCATCCTGTTTATCACTCTAGCTAACACGCTTTTTCTGTAAAGAGCCAGATAGTAAATATTTTTGTCCTTATGGATTGCATGCTGTCTCTGTCATATACTCTTTGTTTTTGTTTTTATAGCCCTTTAAAATCAAAACCCATTCTTAGCTCACAGGATAAAAATAGGTTGAGGGCATAGGAATTACCTCTGGCATCACTACAAGTCCTATGTCAGGTTTTATGACAAGAAGGAAGAGGACAGAATGATCTAGAGCCAGCAACCAAAGGCTGGTTCATTCACCCACTAGATCCTGGCTTCTTTCTTAAAAACAATGCCCACTGGAAGCCTTTTCCTGGGAGCCACTCCACTGTCAGTCAGTCTTGTTTTGTTTAGTGTGCCATTTTACATTAAGAACCTTGAGAGCAGTGGGAAAGTTAACACCAAGAGCTCAGCTTGCAGAAGAGGAGAACTCTTTGGGGCAATGTCCAACAGCTTCTGAGCAGCTGCCTTTCTTCTTTTGTCAAGAATTGTTAAGCTTAGGGCTGTGAAAATTATGAGTATACGAGTTTTGGGGTATATTTAGCAAAACGAGATCGGGTACTGTAGATGGTAACATCTCATGTCAGTTAATTGCTGTAAATAATGAACTTTGACATATTTGGACATGCTGATGGTGTCTGATCTCTAGCCCCTGCTGTGGTTTTCAAGGGCATGAAAAACAAGCACAGCACAAACTCTGCCAGCATGGAAGGGGAGAGTCCAGATGTTGGCCTTCCTTGTCGGCCTCTGCTTGTGTTGCACTGTCTGCAGATGAGGCCAGTACAGTTGTAGGAGAGAAGTGACCCCAAGCTCAACTGTTCAAGGAGTAAAATGAAATAGATCTTTGCCTACTGGCTTGCTACTATATCCTTCATGAACTCCAGACTTTGAAAAATGCCACCAGTAGAGTTGTGCTAAATATTATTAAAATATGTTGTTATGTTTTGTGTTATATATTTGAATATATCCTATGTCTGAAACATATTTTATAAATATGTGTATTTTAGTAGTTTCTTATAGTATTAAAGTTTGTAATCTCAGAATTATCATTTATCATTTGTGAGATATAATGTGAAAGAGTTTAGTCCAGTGGTTCTCAGAGTGTGGCATCAGCATCATCTGGGAACTTGTTAGAAGTATAAATTCTTAGAGCCCAGGAGTTGATAGTTCATCAAGGCCTGCAGAAGATTCTAGTACTAATGAGAGTTTGAGAACTGCTGGTTTAAACCTTAATTAAGAGGTTTATACATTTTTCCTGAGGATGGGCTGATAAGCTTTAATGTTGTGAGGACATACTAGACACCTTACTCCTGGATTTGATTTCAGTGAGTGACTTTATTTATCAACTCTTTTTTTTTTTTTTCATCAACAGGTGACACTTGGACAGAAACACTGGCTTATGTACTTTTCTGGGGAGTTGCAAGCATTGGAACATTTTTTATTATTCTTTATAATGGCAAAGATTTTGTTGATGCTCCTAGATTGGTCCAGAAAGAAAAGATAGACTGAATTTGTGTTTGTGGAAAGCGGCTTGGCTTGGAAGATTCCATGATACAGAACTGGAGTCTTTACTGACCCGCTTTCCACATCAGCCGCTGTCTTTTTAAAGCCTTTATCCAAAAGCACCTCTTGTGCTCTGTGTGGAATGATGACTTAGAATTGATCGGATGTTACTGCCTTGATGATCTCTTTGCTGTTGGGATGGTTATATTTATAATTTGAAGCTATATTATAATTGAAAAATAACCTGAATTCAGCTCACAGAAAAGAAGGACTCGACTCATTGTCAAGTTAATCAGCTGTTGCAGATGATTAATATATTTTAAAAAATTAGCTTCTTTCATTATTTAAAACAGTAAAATTATTTTTCTAGCTCTTTTGTTATTGTCATTGTAGGTGCAGTCACCGTTAGCAAGATACTTTGCCTCACCTTTGGACTTTTCTTCAAAGTTTAATAATGAGCTAACTCTACCATGTCTATAAAATGTAAGTCTCTTACTTACATCAGATAGCTTCATGATATAGTCTGTGACTTCACAGGAAGGTGGAGGAGGATGGGGTCTGGGTTCTTCAGTTTCCGGTGGGCTGCCTCGGCCTCAGTCAGCTTGAGCTACTGCAGTGCACCAGCAGTTTACGTGTAATGAAGGGTCAAGACAGACTTCTGTCTTCTTTACCAGTTGTGAATGGAATCAAAGAATGGAAAGTCTCTTTCTTATGCTAAAGGTCCAAAGCCTCTACTTTTTAAGAATTGCCCCATTGTAGGAAATACCCTTGACTAGCCAGCTGCTTCCTCCTGTACATTTTGATTTCTTTGGGGGTTATTCATTGAGACCCAGAGGCCTCTGAGGGGGTGTCGTGCTAGATCTGATATTGCACTTGGGGCAACAGCTGCTTTTCCACGCATGTTATTGCTTTTCTCTCTGTCACATTTTTTTTGTTGGCTATCAATAAGTGTGTCTAAAATTTAGTGCTTCCAGGTAGTTATAGTTCTCCAAATCAAGGACCAACTTCAACTTCAATTCATGTGCAAAAACAAACCTGAAAAATATGCTTCAGAAGCTGTGCATAGTTGTAATTGTAAGTCAGATTGTATATTCAAATTGTAATTATGAGGTTTAGATAATAGTACAGTATGTAAGGTAGTGTAATTACCACTATTTTGAAATAATTTGATTAAACACTGCTATAATATTTCAGTGTTTTGCTTGAAAATATGTACAGGTTTTTTCCTTATGTTGTCCTTAAATATTTCTAAAAGCGCCTTTATTTTAGCATTATCTTTTTCAACATAATCTTTTATAAACATTAATAAGAATTGTTGCTTTTAGAAACTCTGAAAGAAATAATAGCTGGGAAAATGCTGTGTAGCTTAAAATCAGTCATTAAAACTCACAGTAGGGTAAGTAGATAGAGCCACCTATTCCTAACATGTAAATAAGCATAATTTGTTCCAAAGATGGAATATTGACACATAGCTCATGTCTACTGTAATATATTATCCAAATGCTACTGGGCATTTCACAGTAATGATGTGACACCAACTGCATCAAAGACCAAATCTGAACCGCTAATGTGGCTGCTTTGCAGGGAATGGACTTATTGGTATGTTAGGTCATAAGCTATCAATATTTCAGAACCCTGCAATGATTTTATTTCTTAATTCATGTACTGTACATCCATAAGTGAAAATAAAATGTCATATTCTTTTCTAACTACTATTGGTTTTGTTTGTTCCTATACTTTATCTTGAAGATGAGTTTTTCTAACTTTTTTTTTTTTAATCTCAAAGCAATGCATGATCATTATGGAAAATTTAGACAATATAAGTAAACAGAGTCAATAGCTTCTGAGATCCTGTTTTCCATTTACCTTTTTCATCGTCTCATAGTTATTGTGCATCAGAAATTTGGGCATTTCAGTTCTGCCTCCTGCTTTAGGGTCTTCTACAAAGGCTGCGAATAGGATTCATCTGGGTCCACTTTCAAGATTACCCCATTGGTTGTCAAGATGCAGTCCTCACAGGCTGCTGGCTGTTGGCTGGAAGTCACTCTCAGTTTCTTGCCACGTGGTCCTCTGCAGTGTAGCAGTTTGGTTTGTCAAAGTCAGCAATAATGTCTGCTAGCAAGATGGAAGTCACAGTCTTCTATGATCTAATCTTGGAAGTGTTATCCCACCACTTTTTATTCTATGCAGAAGTCATCACTGAATCCAGCTCATTCAAGGGGAGAATTTATGAAGACATGAACACCAGGAGACAGGGACATCTTGTTAGTCTGCCTATCATAGTAGGGAGAGAAGAATATTCTGAGGCCAGAGCTAGTTTTGGAGGGAATCAAGTCATTTCCTGGGGAGGTTGGGCTTACACCAAGTCCAACGTGTAGTGATTATTTGAAGCTCTGTAGCAATTGGCTCAAAAGTGGGGGAAAGGAAGGAGGAAGTCATGGTTACACAGACACAGGTGGTGTGCCATGCTGCTGTTGTCCTTAACCCCTGGCTGTCTTCCTTTAAAACAGTTTATTTTCCCTTTCACATTTCTTTGTGTGTCTTCTAGTTTAGTACATATTATGTATCCCCAGTTAAATGTAATGTTTCGTTCTGGGGCATTCTTGAGGGTTAGAAGGAATCCTCACAATTCAGAAGACCTTCCACTCTATTGTAAATCCAGCTCATTGGAAATAGTTTTCCTAACTTTTCTCATGGAACTGAACCCTCATCTCCTCCTGGGCCCGACTTCATGCTCCATGATGGTGTCGTTTTACTGGCTACGTGAGGAGGTGAACATGGGAAGAGGTGACAGGGAAAAAAAAAAGACTTACTGAGTCTCTGCCTTTTCTTTATTTTCCACTTTTCGGAATTAGCTTTTGTGCTTACATGATGAAAGGATCTCTTGTGTACAGAGAGGTCTGGTACTGTATGAGTAAATGACGAAAAAAATCCCAACTACAGATATACTTGTTTAACGTTTTATTGACGTCAACAGTGGATAAAAAACAATTTTTCCCCTACCTAATATCTTGGAGCTAAGTCCAAGGTAGTTCTACTTCCTGCATGAATAGGAAGTTTCCAGAGTCCACCATCTGGCCATGATGCCATGGGTCACTGTTAAGTGACAAGGATGGAATGTCCCTTTCCTCCTATTGGAGGGTGGGTGGACAAGTCCCTAGACTACCATTTTTGTGCAGTACCTAGCAAACAGCAAAAAACCTTTTCTAAAACAAGACTTACTACTGGCTCAAGAGGATTACTGAGAAGTGTCCTGCTCTTCGTGAAGTTCACAGAAGCCAGGGTAAAACTTCAGTCAAACCAGAGACATTGTCGCCTGGAGCAGATTACATACAGACATCATCGTCTGACTGATGCTGATGTGACCTGGGATATTTTTGCTCTGTGATGGTGTGAAAGCCACATGCATCCAGTAGAAACTGTGTCTTAAGGTTTGACCACACTAGTGAGATGCTACATGGTACTTGGGGCATGTGAGCAGCTTGCAGTCAGCCACAGGGTCACCAAGGTCAGCATCCCACACAACACAGATCGCTGTGCTGCTGAGCTGAGGGTTGGTAAGTGAGGGGTAATCATGTTTTTAACTTTGGGTGTTTTAACTCAAGGGTTTTTTTTTTTTGATATAACCACGTGAGTCAAAGAGCCTCATGTTGCTTTATCTCTCTGATTTCCATGAGCGATTATTCCACAGAGTACCTTTTCCCCATAATTGGAAATGCTTTCCGATGTTAGAAGTCCTTATTGATGTAACTGAATATACCACCATTTTCTTTCCATCTTAAATGGGGCCTGGCTTTCAGGTTTTAAATGGGACCGGAATCACCCGAGAAGTTTTAAAATCTTAAAATTTTCTGTAGGATGTGGCCGTCTGGAGTTTGCAGTGCTCCCAGGTGGATGGGGATGGGTGGTGGATGGGAATGGGTCGTGGATGGGGATGGGAGGTGGATGGGGATGGCGGTGGCAGGGGCGCACTGGAAGAGTGCCGGCCTGAGTGAAGCAGCCATAGGTCGACCTTTCTCTTTTCACCTCTGAGGCTGACGTTCAGAGTTGACAGGCTCCCACTGCCTGTGACTGACTGCAGGAGAGGGTGGCACTGTGTCCTAGGACAGTGACCACATCTGGAGGTCAAGAGGAGGGGACAGGCCCTTAAGGATGGAACAGACTGGGTGTTTGGCCTGGGGAGGGCCCACTCTTCAAGTGTGGAAAACCATCAGATGAGAAACCAGAGGACTGAGTATTGAGTAAATAAATGCAGTTCAGACATTTGAAAGGACAGGATCTTTAAAAAAAAAACAAAAAAACACATCAGGGGAAGCTGGAAGTATTGATAAGCTGGTGGCTAAGATAGCAAAAGACCTTCCTAATACTTATTTTTGCTGTAAGGAAATTTATAGCATGAAAATAAGTTTTAAAGAGATATCTCCAGCTGATGTCCCAAGTGGGTGTTTAAGTGTCTTCAAAGATGTCTGTATCAATGTACCCAAAGGAATGCTCCTGATTCCAGGACCTCAAGGAAGCACAGAATGCTGGGGCAGGAAGGGGACCCTCCTACTTCAGAGTAATGTTAACCTACTTTATTACAGTAAAATAGATTCACATGGTGGGCTAATGCTATAATCATACTATGGTGTATCTTCAGTAATAAGATGCTCTGTTTAAATTACGTACATTTTAGAAAACTTTCTTATGTACAGATAAATAAACACTGTAATTGATGTTTGTTTTCTTTATAGAGTTGTTATGCCCAAATATCATTTTAAATATATGGGAAAGTTAAATTTACTCTTCATCTTCACAGTAATTTCTGGAACCTTTTCTAAGGCACTAAGACACCATGGATGGGATATCTATTCATATTCCTCAGGGATTTGGGGGTTGCAAACTGTACTTGGGGCAGTTTTTGTAAAGAGGGCTATTCCTGGACCACTGTGAGAGACCTTAGATGAGAGACAGGTGCTTCCCTTTGGGGCCCAGTAAAGGTCTCTCTCGATGGCCAGTCAGTCTTCTTCACATGTAAAAAGTGGACAGGGAACACAGAAGTCACATGTTCACTGAGTAAAACAAAACAAAAGCGTAATTAAACACTGACAGTATTCAAATGTGGCACCTTAGGTACTTCAAAACTCCTCCAACTGAAGTAAAAGTATTGTTCTCTAATATTTTGGTGTCTCCTCAGCAAAAAACCAAATTGCTTATATTTGGATCCCAAAGAATGATGGTAAAATTTCAGCTCACAGTGTGCCTTACTCCTAGGACTTTGTAGAATCAAGGAAACAATTATCTTCAAGCCTAGCCTTAACCTTGGTGACAAGGAAGCAGCATGCTGTGGCCTTCAGGGCCCGCAAAGGGTGGAGGCTGGTTTTGTGAGCAGCCTGCTTTCTTCTCAGGGAATCTTCCTCCTCCGCGGCTTCTGAATTTTGTGTCATCTCTAGAGGCTGGGAGTGAATCCTGGAAGCCGAAGTATTTTAAAAGCAGCCAAGGCGCTTCCACCAGTTGCAGCAGCTGTGACACGGGGCGTCTCTGGGAGGTCCAGTTCTCAGGCCACGGGGGCTGTGTCTCCCCTCTTATAGCGATGCATGATGAAAGTCCCCAGGGCCACCAGGGGGATGCACATAGTGGAGGATGCCACAAGCAGCCCAATAACAGCTAGAGCATATGCCGGGTAATCCTTGGTCACCAGCTGACCCTGCAAGGAGGGAGAGTGTCAGTAGAGGAAACCTTTCCATAGAACCTTCTGAGCACTATGCCCAGGCCTCAGCCCTCAAGGAGGTGGAGAGGCAGCATGGGGTGGGAAGAGACCTGAGGGGCTGCCATGCCACTCCAGAGGCCACCCCAACCCTGCAGTTCACAGCAAATGTGCTAGGAGCCCACTTCTCACTCTTCCATAAATAGGGACAATCTGACACCTCACTCAGGGGCACTGTCCAGGGCACCTAAATGTAGGTCCACCTTGAACCCAGACTAGAACTTTCTGTGGTGGTAAATGTGCTCTTTATCTCTGTTCAATGTGGCATCCAGACACCTGTATGGAGGAGGAGTTCCCTGCCCAGGAGTCAGGAACCAGCAGCCTTTTCAGGGACACTTTCTCAATACCCAGGTAAAGGTCCACTGGGATGCTCCGGAGGAGACTGTCTCATCACTGGGACACATTTAAAAACATACCCGGCTTTGCTGTCCTGGACTGAGCATTTGTATAATACCTTGGTGAGGTTTTCATGTTGTGACCAATGACCTCCCCATACCACAGCGGGTGTCAGAGAACTAAAAGCTGTGCTTTGGTGTGGCCAGCCCTGTCCTGTGGGGACAGCAGATACCTGGGTGGCATCCCAGGCTTGGTACTGCAGGGTCCCTGTGATGATGTAGTCACTCAGGTAGAAGAATAAGAGACCGATGATGAGCAGCGGGCTCACACAGGCCCACATGGCCTTCCAGTACCAGTTGAGGGCTCTGCCAGTCATGGCCTGAAGTTCATTTTCAAATCTATATGGATCATGGGGAGAGAAAGTCTGGGTTATTGATGCTTCTGGAGGTGAGAGGGGTCCAGTCTGCACACCCCATCACTTAGGAAGATTTTGTTTGGGGCACCATTTATGTTTGAACATCACCCCGGGTGCCTCTGACCCCTTCTAGCAGGGGCAAGGGGAAAGGGGCTGAGGCTGCCCAAGAGGGGTGACAAAGCAACCCCTGCTGATAGGAGGACACCAGGAGA